CACTCCAGTGGATTATCCATTGTGGGGATATGCGGTGTCCACTGGCAGTAATCCCGTAGCTCATCATCCGCATCACTGTTGACCCGTGTTTTCTTGCTGTTCGTTTGCCTCTGTTCAGTGCTGACGCCGGTCCGTTGCTCACTGGTGCTAGCATTACTGCTAGTGCTAGCTGTCGGCAGCGGGTGTCTCATCTTCAGATGGTTGCGCATAGCAGATGCATTTGTATTGTACTTCAGTACAGCTGTACACAACTGACACTTCACTGTGGAGTTGGTTACATCTTCGTTGAAGTACTGCCATACATAAGAATGTCGGACGTGTTTTGGAGCATTTTGCAGCACCTCGTTTACCTCAATTTTTTTCTCGACTAGGGCCTACAGCGCCGACTAGTGGTAAAGGTAGTCGATTAGTTGGTGAAACCCCTAACACACACACACACACACACACACACACACACACACACACACACACACACTTTAATCTTTCGGAAATCACGTGTCTTTTGGTTTTAGGGAGGGAGGGTAAATGGCAACAACAAACAAAATAAAAATACAAAAAGAGAAAAAAACCTACCTAATTACTACCTTAGACTAAACACAATACAAAGAAAAAGATAGTTCATAAATCCTTAATTAAAGGAACAGTCATAACTTAACTGAAAATGTATGCAGTTTATTTTCAGAGAAAACTAAAATAATAATGACACATCAGAATAAGCATGAAACACAAACACTTCCTGAGATACAAAGGGGACAGAGCCTCTTATTGAAACATTTGAGATATAAGAAAAAAACAATTAGCATAGTAATAGAATCAAAAAGAAAATGGATAACAGTGGAATTGATGTGTTTTATCTAGATGAATGTAAGGTTAGTATGTTTGTTTTTCTCCAGTGTACCATTTGCACAATATAACTGATTACAAACTAAGAATAAGACAACAAAGATGTTTCTGTGTGTATTTTCCATGTTCAAACAATATAAATCATAACTTCTTACATTGTTTTGCACAACAGAGAAACAGGCGTTAGGAGGAGATACGTTTATACGCTTACCACTAATGATCCATACATTTTCCTTAATGCGTATTTCATGAATCATTTTTCCTATATTTCACACCTTGCAGGAGTTTTACACAGAGAATCCCGAAACCTTTGAGGACTACGGACGCATTATAAACCAGCATCACTTTAAGAGGCTCATGGGTCTGATGGAGGGGAGTACAGTGGCTGTGGGTGGAGGCAACAATGAGTCCCAGTGCTATATAGGTACATGGTGTGTTTGAGACATTTGTTCTGTCAGTTGGGACACGCATCTTAAGTGGAACCGAATGGATTGTTTTATATTTTGTTGGTGGTATTTTCAGTGTGCTTTTTATACCCAAACATGTTTTTGGGAATATATAGTGTGGTGAAGTGATGACACATTTGTAATGGTCAACCTTAGCATTGCAAGGGCTACCTCGACACAAAAGCAATGGGGTTTTTCCATTGGATTTTGGAATATTGCAGAAAAATAAGTTCTATGGTAATCATTTCCACATATTAAGAGATTTTATGAAGCGTAAATGCATTTTCAAGAAAGTAAATGGCTTTTTAAACAAACTACATGATGGGTCAGATCAAGTCTGTCATTTGACTTGCATCACAGCAGCTCCATTTTCCACATCAACAAGGACAAATATGAAAACACAACACAGGAAAAACAAACCGTCAACATAACATCGCAATCACTGAGAGAAACATGCTCAAAGACTTAATGTCAACAACGCTTGCAAGTCACAGGTGGACTCGTGTCCGTCTCGATGACGTTTAGTAGTCTCATTAAGTCACCTGTTAGCATACGCTTTTTCGGGCATCCAACAAGTAATGCGTTAAAACAACCATTATCTACATATCATCTTTATTGCACTGATAGGTAATAGCATGTTAGCTAGAGAAATGTAATCAAGATTTAGTTGTTTGAGTTGGTAGCTGAAGCAGAGCCAAAGTGGTCGGGATTGTATCTGTTTTTAAAGACAACGGTTTGATAAAAGAAGCAGTTTAATCTGGTTGAATCTTATTTATCAAAATGGGTGTAGTCACAGGTGAAAATAAGCTGGGATATATTTGCAGGACAGAAAACTTATTATATTTTCTCCAACCTCCCTGTGATTTATGTGTAAAATGTTGACTACATCATAGTGGTTCCATACACAAATCCTCGCCAAGATACACAAAACTTGCAACCACATAACCCTACACTACCTGTATATAAGGCAGTATCCACAGCATAAGCTTGAGCCTCTTCCTTCTGTGTCCCTGCAGCCCCCACTGTGTTGCAGGATGTGACGGGGGAGTCTAAAGTGATGAAGGAGGAGATCTTTGGGCCGCTGCTGCCCATCATCACTGTGAGCGGTGTGGACGAAGCCATCCAGTTTATTAACGAGAGAGAAAAACCTCTGGTCTTATACGTCTTCTCCAACGACAACAAGGTAAACACATCACCAGAAGACATGTTTCTGCCATTATTCAAGTTGACATTTTTACTAGCTCATGTTGATAAGATGTTTCCCACGATGCTGTTTTATTGGCTTTCTTATTAACAGCTGATCAAAAGAGTGATAGCAGAGACGTCCAGTGGAGCTCTGCTAGCTAACGACTGTCTGGTGCACTTCACTGTTAGCGCTCTGCCTTTTGGAGGAGTTGGTAAGTGTTTTAAACATCCTTTTTATTTAGAGGAGTAAAGCTGAGGAACATTTGTAGCTGACTTCCTCCCCCGCTTGTCTCTCAGGTAACAGCGGTATGGGATGCTACCACGGCCTGCACGGTTTCAACCAGCTCAGCCACCTGCGAAGCTGTCTGATCAAGCAGCTGAACATGGAGGCATTCAACAACATGCGCTACCCCCCCCACACAGACAAAAAGCTGGGCTGGGCGCGCTTCTTTCTGCTCAAGCAGCTGAACGTGGGCCGGCTGCGGCGCATTGCCCTGCTGGCCGCGCTGGCCGGCCTGGCAGCATTTGTGGTGCAGGTAACACATCTGAAATCCACCTGCCCAGTCCACAGAGGAATCAAAGGGATCACTTTGATATCCATAATGTATTGTTCTACTCTTGTGTAGTTCCCTGGAAAGAACTATTCAATTTGGTATTTATTAAGGATTCAAGATTTAAAGGGTTTATCGTTATATGCGCAAAAGATACAAGGTACTTGTTGGCGATTAAGTCTTCAGTCCCAGGCTCTGCCAACAGTGCAATATATACTCAAGAAAGAACTAAGAAAGTAAACTTATGAAGAAAAAAATATGGCGATTAGTGAAATTGTGCAAGTAACCTGCAGGAATAAGTAAACTATGTACATGTAAGACATAATGACAGAATAAATAATGTAGATTCTATTATTTTGACGTTTATGTCATATTTAGGTCATTGTGTTCAGTTTATAAGAAGTTTTCCAAAGGGATTTACCTAAAATAAGCACTAAAACTAAATAGATTATCTATTTTCTATTCATAAATGATTGGCACCTTTCATTCTCTGTGTTAAAATGCAATACTTTCCTGTAGACTCATTTCCCAGTGAGTAAAAGACTCAAATTTG